AAGTAAAGATGTATAGAGATCAGCAGAGTCACCACGTGCTAGGTTGATTAATCATGGACTTCAATGGCAAAGGTGTTTAGATCACTCAACTTTCCAATGACTTTCAATTCCTATTTACATGTGACTCTTTCAAGTTCCCATAGTTTGGCTTTTCATGTTTTGAGGACTTGGTTGGAGAGTTAAGATTCCTGTCACAAATGAACACACATGTACACACACTTCATGGTAATAAGTAAGATTGTTCCTCACAATCAAAACTTACCCAACCATCACCTCACAGACATAGAGCAGGTCCAAATTGTGCAAAGGAAACCCTCCATAGAATCAGATGCAAGTTCAAACTACCCATAACAGTTACTTTCCATATCCAATACAAGTACAAAATTTACCCCAACCAAGCTCACATGAAATATGTGGTGGTTTGATCAAAGGTATATTTCATTCACTTATTATGTATCTATTGTTTACCTACAATGTGTCAGGCAGTATGTCGGGAGCTGGAGTCATATACATAAACAAGCAAGAAAGACAAGACAAAAGGGCTCTCAATTCAGTGGAAAAAGTACAGAAACATCACATATAAAAAGGGAAACAAATTTTAGAAAATTTAGAGAAACTCTATACAGTTATGATTGCTTAAATGGTAGATTCTCTTTTGCATCTAAGTCATTCTAAATACAGCTCTTCTATCTAAGCCCAGCTTGTCAGACCTGATGTTTAACCAAGTGAAAAGACAAGAACAAAATTAAATCATTCTTCAGTGCCTAGATCACTGGAGTATAGTTGGCATAATTAGATGGCCAGGGATAATAACTACTAAGTTCAATATTATTATTTAATTATGACACAGACTTCTCAGGATTTTAAATGTGGTTATGATATTTTAGACTTAAAAGTTAAACATCCCTTACTGCTTTCCTGTTTTGAGTGATTATCAAAACACAGAAGCAAAGCAAACAGAAGTTTAAAATAGAGGAGGAAAGGGAGAAGGCCCTGAGTAAAGAGAGAAAGGGATCTAGAAAACAAGAGTCTTAAAAATATGAGTCATCACTATTTGGATCCAGATTTATCACAGGTCTATATTTACCACAGTTTTAGTCATAATCACTTAAAATAAAAATTTAAAAATCTACCAGTACTACTCTATCTTGTTTAGTCTAACATTCTAATACTATTCTATACTGAGTTCTGTTGTACTTTCTTAAGCACTGGAGATGTGCTTCAAATACCAACTCATGTAGCTAGGAGTGTAGCTCAATAGCAGAGTATGTTCACAAGGCCCTGGATTCAATCCACATCACCAACAATGACAACAACAAAAACCTTTACACTTTTCATAACATTGAGTTATGTGGTAACTGTTGAAAGTATTACTGAAGGTGTGAAACCATTTTCTCCTGGGTAGTGGTGGTGGCTAGGGACCATTTGAGAAAGACAGCAAAATCCTGGATCAAATTTTAAATTTTGATAAATCTGTTTTTTAAAATCAATTAATTAATTTATTTGTTCTAATTTGTTATACATGACAGCAGAATGCATTTCAATTCATAGTACACATATGGAACACAATTTTTCATTTCTCTGGTTATTCACAAAGCAGAGTCACACCATTTGTGTCTCATACAGGTACTTAGGGTAATGATGTCCATCTCATTCTACCATCTTTCCTACCCCCAAACCCCCTCCCTTTTCCTCCCTCCTCTTTGCCATATCCGAAGTTGTGAATCTGCTTTTAATTGCACCAAATGTCCTTGATTGCATATACGTCCAAGAAAGAAGCACATGCTCCATAATTAAAGATTCTAAAGCAGCACTGTTTGATAGAAATATGAATATACAATTTAGGTTTTCTAGAAGCCATATTTTTTAAAAAGTCAAAGTAGACAGATGAAATGACATTTAAACATTGTTATTAATATAAAATTAAGATTTTTTCCTTTTTTCAAAATAATTTCTTGAAATCTAGTGTTTATTTTATACTTACAGCACATCTTAATTTGGATTAGCACATTTAAGTGTTCAATAACTATATGTAGCTAGTCACCACCATTTTGAACAGCACAGCCATAAAGAATGACTGAGATATTAAGTACAAATGCCAGTGGAAATATAATTGTTCTAATATATTTTTATGGAAACAATACCTTTATTTTATTTCATTTATTTATTTTTATATGGTGCTGAGGATTGAACCTAGTGCCTCACACATGCCAGATGAGTGTGCTTCCATTGAGCCACAACCCCAGCCCCTGTTCTAGTATTTAAAAAAAAATTTTTTTTAGTTATACATGGACACAATATCTCTATTTTTGTTTATTTATTTTTATGTGGTGCTGAGGATTGAACCCAATTGCCTCACATGTGCCCTGGCAAGCACTCTGCCACTGAGTCATAACCTCAGCCCCTGTTTTAGTATTTTTTAACATAGTAATTTTTATAGTCCTTATGTAAAGTTTTAGTGGTCTATTCTTAACTTTGTTATTTTTGGTGTATCACTTTAAAGAACATAATTGTTTTCCCTGTACATAGTTTCTTAGCTTCCCTTGCAGCTAGGAGTAGTCATATGATACAGGTCCTGGCACTGAGATGTAAAGGGAAGTCCATTAAGTCCTTTGGAAAAGATTTTTTTTGCCCTGAAAGGAAGACAGATGCCTCAAGTGAAACCCTACCCTACCCCATGCATTTTCCTTTCTGTTTGGAACATTTCATATGGAAACATGATGTTTAGAGGTGTGGCAACTATCTTGGGATGATACAAGTATCTTTAACACATTGAAGATAACAAAAAAGAAAGGTATCCTTCCTTATCAGAAACATATATGGAATGAAGAAGCTGGCCATGCAAACAGGAGACAGAAGAAGGCAAAGGCAGAGTTCTTTAGCAGAAGGGAGAGTATGTCAGCAGCAGAGTTGTCCTCAGTGGGCTTTGCTTCAGTAGGTACAACCAGTGTGCCCTTCTTTCTCCCATTTCCCTCCTTTGCTGAAGATTCTCTTTCCTCTGATATTCTTTCTTTAGGTATGACAAGAGTACAGAATTACCCCCCAATACTTAAGAGAGGGTAGAGCTAAAAGTAACAACAGAATTTCTTTGATGTCCCATGTTTATTAATACTTATTCTTATACAAGCACTGCAATTTGGTCCTAATCTGTGTGCTTCGATTTTTTTTAATGCTTTATCTACCATGAAAAAAGAATGTCCTATTACTCAGTAAGTGAGGTTATGTTGTATTGATTCAACTAAGTTTGGGTAATTAAGAGTGCATATCAGATTCATTGTTGAGCAATTCTCTTATTTGTTTGGGGGTCATAATAATTCAAGAACCCAGATTTATTTACCTAAATATGTAAATACATATGGAGTCATTTTTCACTACTTTACAATGTCAGGGTAATCACAGGGGACCAGCCCAGAATGCTGGCTAAAGAAATGATATGGTTAACATTTTCAGCTACTGATTGTGAAAATTTTGGTAAGCATATTTCTTGAGTTTTACAGTAAATGGGTATCCAATCAACTAGTTAGCTTCTTTTATTCATCAAAGGAGTATTTTTTTCAGTAAAGAAATATGCTTCATTTGACCACTTACCAGTCTTACACTATAATTCGTCATGTAAATAAAATAGGAGTCTCAAAGGACTCTCAGTTTTTTATCAATTCTTTATTCAACCCCCATACCTAATTTTCATTAGAACTATTTAATCATGTGCAATAAAAGTATTCAGCTTGTCTTAAGATAGTTGTTTGTCTTGACTAAGTAAGCCCTCTGAGTCAGTCTTAATCATTGAAGGTAAACTAGAAATTCATTAGCCTTAATTGCACTTCTCCTTCATGAAGAAAATGTCAGTTCAATACTGGCTTGAAAAACTGGTTATCATTTTACCTCAACCAAGTCAGCCATTCTAGAAAATGGAGCAGAATTTTAAAGTTACTTTCCATTTGGATACAAATGTTTGTTAAAAGTTAGGTTTTAAAACTAGTAGATTTACTAAATTTTCCTATCATATCAAACATAATAGGAAAATCCAGAGAATAACTTTTTGAGATCATAGCTTCTCTGTGACTGCTCCTGGAAACATTCAGTCTTCTAAATTTGTCCCCATCTACTCACATGTGCATACATTTTCTCTACTTACTTTCATGTTACTGAAAAACTCACTTTCCTTGTAGCAAACGCCTTGTTACAAATTAAAATCTTCAAATTTGTCTTTGAAAACATAACAGAATCTAATAAACTTGCCAAGTTATTAACATCCATGTTTTTATCCAATTCTTAAGATCCAGGTTTAAAAGCTGAAGCTACTAGTTATTTAATATTTTTTTGAGCATATTAAAATTCATCATTAGAAATCCTTTCATAAAGTACTTTCCTGTCTCTTTGTTTTCAAATGGAGCCAGTCACATCTAAAACAGTTTCACCAGATCTCATTTTAAAAGCATCATTGTGTTCTAAGCCCTCCGAAACTGACTTTGAAGGGAACTTCAAACCATTTTTAAAATTAGCTTGTTGGTTTGTGCTTTTTTTGGCTAATATTTCTAGAGTCACCTCTTTTTGGTTTCAAAATTTGCATGATCGCCTTCTTGTTTTTGCTTGAATCCGTCTTAATCATGCAGGAATCATGCTCAAGGTCTGTTTGAACAACTTGGCCTTAGCTTTAGGCTTACTTGCATTTTTACCATTGCAGAGCCCATATTTTAAATAGATAGCTAAATGCTACCCTATGCATTTGGTTTTCTGTTGCTGCTTAATTCTTGGTTATGATTAAAGTGGCTATCATGTTACGTTCATTATAAACATCTTCCACGACAGCTCTGACATGGCACCGATTTCTGGGTGTTCAGTTTCCATGACCATTCTTATTTTCACTACTTTCGAGCTGTTACACTTCAACTGTCCTGTTTTAAGCCTCCGGTCCGCGTTTCCAGATGAAAACATGATTTTCATTACGTATTACACGTCGCGGCAGCAAACGAAGGTGCTCCCCGCGGCGGGAAGCGAGACCAAGCTCTTTGCTGGTTGGTAAACACATCGCCGCGCAGGCGCAGTGGTACGTGCTTGGTAGCTAAAGGGATTTTCGGTATAGTGAGAAAAAGCTAAACAAATCCTTGCGTCTTAGGGCGATAAGTTATCCAGTTTTTTTGTATTTTTCACTTTTTTTTTTTTTTAGCTCTTATTTCTAAAAAACTGGTTGTGCGGCTTCCAGAGCGTCACAGAGAGGTTGTGCGCAGAATTCCTCAGCCGCTGAGGAAGTGCCGCTAGCCTCCGGGGTAGTCACAGCAGCCTCAACGGTTCCCTCGCTGACTTTGTTGACCACCGCACTACAGCTCTGGGGATGTGGGAGGCGGGGCAGGGTGGGGCGGGCCTCGAAGCGCCACATAGAACTTCTCCGCGCTCTGGCCTACACCAAACAACGCGAGATCTGCTGCGGGGAAGCGGACGTTTCTCCCCCACACACCCCGCCCACACAGTCGGTGGCAGTTTGCGCATGCGTTTGGCTTTTAGCGCGCAAACATTTCAAAACTTTCTGCCTGGTAATTGGCAGCCAAACTAGACGCTTGAGAATATCCGTCACGTTGATACCGTGGATTCAAGTACACAACACTACATTGTTCGAAAATTTTAGCTAAAACTCTATTTGGTTGTATGGTGGTCCCTTCTTTCTATTTGTGTGTTGGCCGTGAATTCAGAGGTTTCAGCAAACCCAGTGCCAAAGGAGCGGGAGTGGGACAGAGCCTGTAAAGGTTTTTAAATAAGAGCGAGGAGTTTATGTGTTTGGAAACATAACTCTGGGAGCGCCATAAAGGAATGATTCCGAGGGACGAAAGAATTTTTTCCCCCTGAAGATTGTGATAAAGATGTGTGAACTAAGGTAATGCAGTGGGAAGAACCAGAGAATTTTTGAGGTAAATAAAGAGAGTAAATAGCATACCTGAGAGGTGAGGCTAGAAAGAACTGCTGGCAGTAGAGGAAGTTTTTCTTAAAATGTTTATGCATGTTTATAAATAAAAAAGGCAGAAATGCCACACATTTAGTCCATGATGTATCAAGTAGAAATGGGAATGTCCCTAAGAGAGTGAAGCAAGGGAGACTCTAAAAGCCCTAAATCCTGAGCAAGGACTGAGATTGGGACTGAGTAGAACAGTTGAGATACCAACAGGAATAGGAATTTAGGAACTGTTGTGAGACTTCTCACTAATCTGGCCTCTTTCTCTCTTAGGATACTTGGAACACCTGTGCAAGCACTGGATTTTGCCCAGCGACATCTTAAAGGTAACACCCAAAGTGCCTTCCTCTTTCTAACGGAGTCCCCTGGCCCTGCTACCTCCCACTAACTCTACCCTTCAGCCAGAATGAAGTGTAGATTTCGTGTAATGAGAGGTGGAATTTAAGTCGAGCACAGTGGCTCATGCTTCTATCGCAGTGGCTTGGAAGGCTGAGGCAGGAGGATCACAAGTTCAAAGCCAGCCTCAGCAAAAGGGAGGGACTGAGCAACTCAGTGAGACTCTGTCTCTAAATAAAATGAAAAAATAGGGTTGGGGATGTGGCTCAGTGAACGTGTCCATGAATTCAACCCTCCCCATCTCCCCGCCCCCCCCCCCCCCCCCCCCCCCGGCCAAAAAAAGATGGAATTTAGCTACCAACTTACTCAGATGTGTAGCTGGCACATTACAGAATTATATACGTCTAGCCAATAACTTCCCAGAGGTCCACCTTGCTATAGGGAACAGTTCTATGCAGCTTAGCCTGGAGAGTCATCCTCAGTATCCCAGGGTATTGCTTCCAGGACCACTCAGGAATGCTGAAATCCACATTGCTCAAGTCCCTCACATAATATGACAAAATTATTTGCATATAATCTATGCATGACTTCCTGTAAACTTTAAATCATCTCTAAATTACTTATAATACTAAATCAGCCTGAATGCTATGTAAATAGATGTTATACTGTATTGTTCAAGGAATAATGAATGACAAGACTACTGTCTGTACATTTGCTACTGTCAGCACAGATGCATATTTTTTTCAAATATTTTCAATCTGTTGGTTCAGTCTGAGGATGTGGAATCCATGGATGCAGAGAGCTGACTTCGTGTGTGTGTATGTGTGTGTGTGTATACAAACATAAATGTGTATCTCTGCAAATCTATATATTGTGATAGGGTCTCAGTATGTTGCTCAGGCTGGCCCCAAAATCATAGTCTCAAGCAATGCTCCTGCCTGAGACTCCTGAGTAGCTGGGATTACAGATGTGTGCCACCTCACCCAGCATGACTATCTTTTCATTCCTTGTGTACTGTCTGGAGTATAAGGCAAAAGAATGCTTATGGAATTCATAATTTTTCTAGGCCCAACAAAGGAATGGCTGATAGGTAAGCAATATGACTTCATCTGTAAGAACACTAAATATGATAAACTACAGGACTGAAGCTAACTATGATGGAGAAGAATGTAGGTATGAATATATAAAATGGAAGTATTTAATAAAAATCCAGATATGGAATCTAAGCCTGGTGGTACATGCCTTTAGTTCTAGCTACTCAGAAGGCTGAAATAGGAGGATCTGTTTATCCCAGGAATTTGAGGCCATTCTGGGCAGCATATTGAGACTCTGTATCAAAAGACTTTAAAAAAAAAAGAAAAGAAAAAAGAAGCAGCAGCTGCAGCCAGAGTAGTTTCCTACCAAGCAGTTCTCCTAGAGCACTTCACTTTATTTTGGCAGCTTAGAGTATATCCTGGTAACCCAATATTAACCCATATTGGGTTAAATATGTGAAATTCATAGGAAAATGCTGCAGAAAGAAAACCCATGGATGTAATAGAATAGTATTTCTGGACTTTATTGATTAGGATTATCCATCTCTGAGGCATGATATCTAAGTATGATGTCTTAGGAAGTGTGTAGACTGGGAGCCAAATGGGGTTTTATTTTTTTAAATTTTATTTTTAGTACTAGGGATTGAACCCAGGGCACCTAACCACTGAGCCACATCCATAGCCCTTTTATTATTATTATTTTAAATTTTCAGCAGGGTCTCGCTAAATTGCTTAGGGCTTCACTAAGTTACTGAGGCTGGCTTCAAACTTACGATCCTCCTGCCTTAACCTTCTGAGCCACTGGGATGATAGGCATGCATCACTGTGCCCAGCCTGGGGTTTGATTTTTGAGTCTGCCAGTCATTCTTTGTGACCTCTCAGAGCCTCAGTTTCCCTGTTTGTAAAATAAGGATAACAGTCCTTATCACATATTATTATTATTATGACATTTAAAATAAGGTACTATTAGAAAGAGAACATGAGTTTCTCACATAGAACTTGGTATATAGTATATGATAAAAAATTAGTTTCTTGGGGCTGGTGTTGTGGCTCAGTGGTAAAGTACTTGCCTCGCACACATGAGGCACTGGGTTCGATCCTCAGCATCACATAAAAATAAATAAACAAAGATATTGTGTCCATCTACAACTAAAAAATATTTTTTTTTTTTAAAAATGAGTTTCTTCTCTCAGCCTCCTGCCACATTTATGCACTTCACCTACCCAATGAATTGTGGATGCTCTATGGATATAGGTCCATCTTTATTTAGAGAGCCTTAAGACAAGTTCTCTACCTTTCTTGCATGTTAGAATAACGAGAGAGCCTGGCTGGGAGCACCCTGGTGGAGCAGTAGAACTAGGGTCCATGGTTAGCATCCAGCTTACCATGGAACGTGTTGGCCTAGGCCACCAGTGCCATAGGTTAGGACTCCATCTGGGGCTCCACTGACCATTCCAAACCCTACAGAGGCAAAGAGAACCCTTCCGGCTAGGGCAGCTGCTTGTTGAAAGTCATGGTCCAGCTGCTGCTCTTTCTGATGGCTGTTTTCAAGAAAGGTGCCTGTCTGTTATGGCCCAGGAGCAAGGGCATTGCAGCCTCCACAGATGGGGAAGTGGGCCCTTGACGTGATCTTTGTATGGAAGGCAGTGTTGACTCTGGGGCTGGTCCTTCTCTACTACTGCTCCTCATTGGCATCACCTTCTGCAACAAATGGCTGACAAAGAGCTTTCACTTCCCCCTCTTTATGACAATGATCCCCCTGGCTGTGATCTTCTTTTCTGCCCTGTCCAGGGCACTGGTTCAGTGCTCCAGCCATAGGGCCTGTGTAGTGTTGAGCTGGACCAACTACCTCAGAACAGTGGCCCCTATAGCACTGGCAACAGCACTTGATGCGGGGTCGTCCAACTGGAGCTTCCTCTGTCACCATCTCACTGTGAGTACCGACTACACCCTGATGCTTCCCTGAAGGCCAAGCTCTTTGTCTGTCCAGCTGCTGTCTGTGCACCTGACCAATGGGCCAGTTACTCCATCACTTTCTGGGACCAGCCCTTGCTCTCAGCTCCTCCCTGGCTCCCAGAAGCTTTCCAAGAAGTCTCCAGCCTCTTCTATACACCATGACCGAGTCCTCCGCTGTGCTATTCATCTTGAACTTCTCTTTGATCTTCAAGATGGAGACGGGAGCTGAGTGCAGCACTGGTCCTGGTGGTTCTCCTCATTGTTGGGGGGCCTTTTCATGTCCATCTACAAGTCCACCCAGTTTCAACATGGAAAACTTCGCCCTGGTACTGGGGACCTCATTCATCAGTGGAATTCACTGGACCTTCACCCAGATGCTCCTACAGAAGGCTGAGCTGGGCCTACATAACCCCATCAATACCATGTTCCACCAGCAGCCATTATGTTTCTGATGCTTTTTCCCTCTTTTTGCCATATTTGAAGGATATAGGGCTGCTCCTATGGGTACTTGGGAGTCTCTTCCTTGGTAGGATTCTCACCTTCAGTTTGGGTTTCTCTGAGTTCCCCTGGCTTCCAGAACCTCCAGCCTCACTCTTTCCATTGCTGGCATTTTTAAGGAAGTCTGCACTTTGCTGCTGACAGCACACCTGCTGGGTGATCAGACTAGCCTCTTGAATTGGCTGGGCTTTGCCCTCTGCCTCTTGGGAATATCCCTTCATGTTGCCCTCAAAGCAATACACTCCAGAGGTGATGGTGGATATAAACCCCTGAAGGGCCTGGACTCCAGCCCTGACCTGGAGCTGCTGCTCTGAAGCAGCCAGCAGGAGGATGAGGACAATGAGGAGGCAGAGCACTTTATGCTCAGAGGCATCAGTGAACAGCCAGGGGAGCAACTTGGATGCAGGCTGCACTGTGATGACCACTTGGCAGCAGCTTGGGGCCCTAGTGGCTCTTTACACCATCTGGGAGAGGTGGCTTGGGAGTCACCTGTGGTGGGGCTAGGTCAGGGGCTTGTGGCTCCTACTCTTCCCTTCTTTTTGGAGCTTAGTCAACTGGATAAGCACCAGGCCAGCCTTGGACCTGGTTGGAGCTAGGCCCACACTGTCTTGGGTTCATGATGGAAAAGGAAATGGGCGGGTCTTTCTCAATTGTTGACCAGGCTCTGAGCCCAAGATTAAGTTTAGAGGCATAGCAGCTTTCTAAGGGGACTGACCTTGGACTGCAGGGCAGTTGGGGTGTGAAGAGGTTGGGATCTCATCACCTGGACAGTATCTTTCTCAGCAGATTTGGAAATAAATGGTTTATGGTAAAAAAAAAAAAAAAAAAAAAATCACAAGGGAGCGTCAAAATATCCTAATACCAAGATTTCCCCCTAGACCATTCAATCAGAATCTCTGGACATAAGTATGTTTTAAAAAGTTCTCCATTTTGGAACTCAGGCTGAGAACCACCATTGCTTTAAGAGTTTCCTCCGGAGCCAAGCACAGTGGCATACTCTTGTAATTGAGCAACCTTGGAGACTGAGGAGGAAAATTGCAAGTTTGAGGCCAGTCTCAGCAACTTAGCAAGGCCTTAAGCAACTGAGACCCTGTTTCAAAATAAAAAATAAAAAGCTCAGTGGTAAAGTGCCCCAGGGTTCAATCTCCATTATCAAACAAACAAAAACTCAGTTCCCTCCAGAAGGAGAAAAGAAATTAGACCTTTGATTTAGACCTTTGGATCTGAATACTTGTACATTTGAAAACTTTCTAGAGGGACAAAGGCTAACACTTGATATGGATGGATGAGTAGGATACCGTGAGATATATTCTGGAGGGAAGACCCTGTGATAAGACAGGAGTAAGCATGCTGATTTGGGGAAGATTAGTAATGAAGTCATTAATATAGATGCCAGGAATATGCAGGATTTGCTGTAGAGATGGAAGGATTTGAGGCTGGTCCTTTAATCTAGCACTGGCAACACAGATGATGATGTCTTCATTGCTTTTCTACATCTCTTC